ATTCATAAATAAAATTTTATATTAAATAAATAATATATTATCTTTTGCATTATAATTTTTACAATATGCACGTCTAATGGATGATGTTACTGTTAATAATAAAATTGCTAAGCAAGAAGATATAGATAGTATTATCACTAAAGTACAGTTACAGCATTAATCTTATAAAGATTACATAAGAATATTGTACGAAGAGGACATAAGTAAACATAAATATTAATTTTTCAATTATAGCTTTTTTGCTAACGTTTTTAAATCTTACCACGCCATTTGATAGTCGCAATAGTCATAAATAGAAGTAAGAAGGTAGCTTCTAGCCTAATTGCAAGCAAAAAAACCAACGGAGTCGTGCTGTCATGAGACGAAAAAAAAGATTGTGTTAACGAAGAGATATGCCTAAAGAATTAAAAGTGCCCTCCATAAGCTAATAATCTCCTATTACGTCGATCTGTTAAATTATTGTACAGTAGGACTCCCTATAACGTGGGAAATATAATAGAAATTAAATTTCACCGACGTCGCTTTTTGGGTCACATTTAACTAACCCAAAATTACAAATTCAGAATTTGTATGTTCTTTTTTCTTTTATTGCGTTATACGGGGACCTACTGTATACGCAAATTTCGCTAGATGGAACTCGCAGTTATTAAAGAAGTATTTAAAGTATTTAAGGAGGTAGGTTTAATTAACTTACGAGATTTGTTACAACTTTTGTAAGGCGCTGTACGACGCGCCTAAGCGGTGGCCGCGAGACCCAAGCCGCAGGGGGCCTTAAAACATGGATGACTGCAGGCTACACCCCCACCCCAAGGCTTGCACGGTCCCAACGGCTGATGGGAATATATAAAACGGGAAGAAGGGTAGCAGCAGCGGACACAAATTAAATTTTCCTGCCTAACATAAATTACTTTGTCATTAGCTATAAATGATAATTATGCATGCTAACGTTTTTATTTTTCTTGCAGTGTAAGGAGCCATATTCTACTCCAGGAAACTCTTATTACCCCTACTGTTTCAACTTACGGACTTATGTTAAAAAAAAAAAAAAAAAAAAAGAAAAAGCAGCAGCGGACATAAATTACCGATATTTACCAGCGAAAGGAATACCGTGTTATTTTAGCGATCGTTTTAAGCGCCCTTGTATATTTTTCTTCTTACATTTTCTTTTCAATTCTTTAACATTACATTCCACGCAGCGTGTAAGGTTGGTAGAACAAATATATAGGGAGGTTGTAAATTGAAACACCAACTGACAGCTTGATCTAGCCGTAGTCAAGTGCGTATACGGCATTCTGTTTTTGGGTCCGTATAATAAAAGAATGACAATTGACGACTGACGGTATTTCGTGTACTATCGAATAAATAAAAAATGCAAATCAGAATTTTTAATATTTGAAGTTTCTCTCTGTACCTGGTGTATCATAAACCTATGTGGCCAACGCAGATCAATTGGCTAGCCTAATTTTAAGAACGTGGAATCGATGCAGAATGAAGTAAACAACGTCGACGGCAATTATTGGAAGAAAGTAGTGGACAAAGTAGTAAAAATTGAAATAGAATATAGATGAAAATGAGGACCATTGTAAAAATTTGAAGGACCTGACTAAGGGTTCAGGACCTTATCTTATTATATTTCTGTCAATTCCCTTGTTAGAATACTCGAAACATGTTTACTCTGACTCCTGGCCGATTTTACGAGTTCGCTATATATATTTATTGCGATAGTTTGTGGATGTGGAACTTTTATTAGGCGTAAAAGGATATTTCACGACTCGATGCACAAACTAAGTATGTACAGTAGCGCACACATAAGCGTCCGCATTTTTGCACACTTAAGCGTCCGTCGCTATCCCCACCAATTCTTGGAATTGGGACATCGGAGTGGAGTTCGAGCGTGCCGTGTGAAACAAAGTAATTCGATATCGAATTCGGTATCCCATTCAGGCACATCTCCTCTCTTTCGTTTAGTTAAATTCGCAGAAGTCACCTCCCCACTTAACACGTTAAGCGCCATGTCAGTCACCGGTGACTGACGCGGCCTGAACGGAAGGCATAGTGTCAGTCGCCGGTGACTGACAGTACACTTTTCGTTGGTCGTCTTCTGTTTATAGTTCGCATGGCCCACTTGACCTGAACTGAACGGTAAGCAAAACAGGCTGGGCGTTTAACGTGTTAAGCGTCCGCATTCGGTCCCGACTGCTGACGCTTATGTGTGCACTACTGTATATGAAAGTGTTGAGAATTCAATATTATAGTTATACTTCTCTAATTAAATATTTCAATGTGACTGTTTAATAAACTGACAGAAATTTGTATTGTGTTGAAATATTATACATAAACGTAGAAAAATAAAAATATGTTAGAAAACAGTAAATCTGAATAATTATAGGTACGATACACGAAAAATAAAAGTTAAACAAAAAGAGAAAAAGAAAAAAGCTATTTCTATCCCAACGGGATTCAAAGTTGTGTCCTTAGAACAGAGATAAAAGGTTCTTTGTTTCATGGCTACCGCAAATACTTGCAGTACTTGGTTCTCTTTGTGGAAATTGATTCGATAACTTCAAAATTTCTCATCAAATCTAAATAAATTTGAATCTTTTATGAAAGGAGGAATATTTTAAAATTTGTTCGTATTCATCAGTCTATAAATGATAGATTCGGTCACATCTAAAAAGCAGTTGGAAGTCGATACAAAATTGTCAAGCATATTACATAAACTTATTAACAATACTTCGTTTTTACGGAAAAGTTTAACGAATAGAGTAAATATGAAAGAAAGTATGCACCTACTCCGGTTGAAAATTACAATAAAAGAGCTACAATGTCCGAAATATTTGGCATATTCATATATAACACACATTCCTTAAAAATAAGCGACTTGAAATGGGAAAATATAAATAAATTAATTGCAACATACAGCATGTCTGAATAGTGATAAAATTAAGAAAAACAGTTTAGATACGTACATGTTCATTAATTGAAAGATTTAAGGCTTTCAATGCCCGGAGAATAATTATCGTTATTGAAATTTTCGGATGAAAACCGTGCCCTTATGGGGAAAGTATTCCGACGTTTCGTAACCATTGCAGTGAGACACACTGATAATGGCGTGTCTAAAGGAGGTGTATTATTTATTTAATAGCTCGTGTTCCGGTTTAAGATTCGTAAGCAATGAACCGGAACATGAAAAATCATGAACCGGAACGTGAGCTATTCATTAACTTATTCCTACATTTGACCGTGCGAAAACCAAGTCCGTCGTTACTTCATATTTTTGTTATAACATTCTAATAAAGCTTTCATAGGTCTTGGTATTTATAACGCATTTTTTTATTCTTATTTGTGGAAATGCTCGCAGAGTTTGATGACAGAAGCATGGGACAATTTGTATAATTAGATTAGATTTGACCAATATTGGAAACTGTTAACATAATAGTATGCTTCACAGTAGCATCGTGCTTTTCTCTTCATCTGTTAAAATTCGAAAGAAACAATCGATGTGTGTATATAAATATTTCATCCCTTTTCTTAAAGAGAACAATGAAGAATAATGGAAACGTGTAACGTTATGTGTAACATGAAATGAATAATTGAGATTCGCTATTTAAATGAAATTAATCCGCAGATGAAAAGAAATAGATGGAAATGGGAATGATTTCAATATTTCAAAGTTTATTTCTAATACAAGTGTCTCGACGTGTGCATATTTTATATGAATATAATAAACGACAAGGAAAATAAACTAATGACTGCAACATTTAAATATCACATTTAAATCATTAAGTCAACAATTGGTAATTGGTTTTTTATTGTCGTCATTGTACTAATTGAGCACATTTCTTTCCAAAATTTTACAATATTTTTATCAATCAATAACATTAACAAAATTCTCGTAAACGTTTGGCACAAGTCTGTTTCAAGATTCAAGTGCAATGCAACTCTGACAAATGGTCAACGCATAATTAAATATGTGCACCCTAAGTTGACCTAAAACGTAACTAAAACAGGCAAACTCACATGTTGTTCAGGCTTTAACGCAACATCGAATTTTTTTTTCGTGCTCCATACTACTGACTCAAACACATGTGCATAATACTTAAAGCACATCTCAGACTTATTTGAAGAAAGAAAGAAATTACGTTAAATTTTATGGACAATATAAAGGATGAGGTAGGACTTGTGGTACAACCGAGTAGTGGATGATTCTGCGTGTAAAAGTAAACCGAAGATAAAGAACAACATTTTTTCATAAGAAGCTTACTTTTCGAGAAAATTGAATTCAAAGATTCCCTACAACCTGTTGCTTCTGTTTACACTTTTGTGTTGATAAATAGCGGTAATGTCGCATTTCGCAAAGAAATAATGAAAATCTTTTGCAACTCGTAGGAAGAATTATACAGGCTCTCGAACAAACGGCGAAAGATTTACTCGTGATTTGAAGAGGGACCAGAGGCTTTCGAAGAATTAAAGCGTGAAACCACCGTGGGGCATCAGTCCACAACTCTCTGATTCGAAGAGCAAGAATTTGTATGCGTCAACAAGCACATCATTTTCGACAGTTCACTCGGTAATGTACACGTAGACCAAGAAAATTGTTAATAAACGTATTATTAGTACTTATCGTGACATTGGTACCGCTTATTAGCACAAATACGAAGCCCAGTGACAGTGAAGTGGACACGTACTTAGTAGATATTCAAACTCGATTTTCTTGAAAACGAGGCACGAAACGAACAAATTTTATTCTTTATTTGCCGTTTATTTCGACATGTAGAATCACCCATGCCCGGTTGTACCACGCGTCCTGCCTCACCCTGTACGATAGAACGAGGCAGTATAAAGTTTTAAAGTGAAACGTCAACCAAGTTGGCACTCGTAGTGCAAAGGGTTAATTATTTTATTATAACGTTTAACGAAAAACTATTATCTCACTAACGGTTTATAAGCGTCTTTGTAATTGTAATAATTATGACACAAAATAGGTGGAGAAAGTTCAAACGCGTTTGTAAAAGTAAAAGTGGAAATTGTGAATTTGTAAAATTTTGCATAACTCGAAGAAACTCGTGATACAGTTAGAAAGCAACATGCAATTTTATGTATTCAATAGGACTTACAATATTTTCTGGAAGCTTGTGCCCGGGAAGGTATTTCACGTTTTCATGTAACTGATTAATAATATCAGTCAACTTCTGACTATTCACTATTTCCTCATAAACATACATTGTGACACGTGTTTCAAATTTGTTGTTATATTTAACAACATTGGCACCCACAATTTTTGCAATGGCTGATCCCCTAAAGTGTAAAAAATAAGCGAGTAGTATCTTGCACTAATACCTGAGAAAGATCAATTCTAAAATTCCGATTTATCAGCTGTATGTATATCTGATAGAATATTAAATTGTACGCGAACACTTATGCAAATATTGATAAGGAACAGAAGCTGTATACGTATAAAAATCAAATATAAATATGAAAACGATACAGTTACCGTGAAATCAAATCAATTTTCTTGATAAATGCAATAAACAATTTTCATTTATTTTCGAAATATAAAAGACAAATTATCGTTAACACATACCAGTTGCCACTTCCTACAACGCACACTCTTTTCTTCGCTGGAGCAGCCATTTTGCGGTTTCAAGGTACTACAAAAACTTTCAATTTACAAATTCGCAAACGTTTCAAATAATACTCTACGTAGATCGAAAGTACAACAAATTTGCTTATTTTCGAACGACGATGTACGACTGACTGACTGACCGACTAACTTACAAACTAACTTCAGCCTTCATTGACCTTAGTAACGATCGCAAATTATTTTCTAACGGTTGACGTTTTCTGTTCTGGACCAAGGCCAACTTAAACGTAATTGACAACCTTGACCAGAATGGGCGCTAAAATTACCGATAGGGTAGTAATAATACTTAATATACACCGAAGGTTTTGATATCGCAAGACAATGTTGAACTTGATATTCAAAGATGAAATTCAATCCCTAATTCGCTAGAGTAATGCACGAACATTTGTGTAATTAACGTGTATTGGCCTTCGAGAAATTTGCATGAATTTTTTCTCCGAAGTTACGAACAAAAGTAATGAAAAGACAGATTAAGTTACTAATGCCGTTTTAATATAAAAATATGTTGTATAAAAGAATTAAACATAACTTTTTACCGTTGCATTGCGTAAAATCGTTGTGGCTATTTTGCCGTATAGTAGATATCACTGTGATGTACCTTACAAAACCTTCATTATACAATAACAGTCTCTAATGTAGAAATAACATACAATCTTCTTTCATGCCCTCCAAATAATCTTCACAGATGGCATCTTGGTAAAGGTAGTTGCAGTACTGGCACACTAACGTCATCGTTCCTAAATATGAATTAAATATAATTAAAACTAAGGAATCTCTTGCATACATTTTATTATGACGAACGTTATTCCTGTACACCACACCTTTTTACACCCTTAAACATGCTTGACATAAAGTAAAAGTAAACGATAGCACAACTACAATTAGTCCAATTAATAATGTATAAAGGTGTGTATAATAAACAAGTATTGTATATATACACTGTTAGTTAGTTACGAATATTGGATTGAAAGGCTTTGGAAAAAGGACAAGTATAATTCTAAACAAAAATCTTCAAATTACCAAATAATATATTTTTAATTTGTATGTTACACTGTTTAAATTAATTTTAATTCTATAATACAAAAATTCACAATAATACATGGAAATCTCAATCCACAGAAAATCGAAATATCGCTAATATATTTATTCACAAAATCTGCTTAGTTTCTATCACATAACAATTCTGATAAAAATTTCATTGTAATATAGGATAACGATAACATGGTTTTACGTGCTACGTACCGTATCATTGTATAAACAAGCTAACATTTGTACGATCTTGGATATTTTATGGTGTTAGGAAAACTGCAACTACATAATTTAATGGCGTTGTTAAGGGTGTACTGAAATTATTAGGGTAGTTAGTTTTAATTACAATTGAAAATGTAAAGTGTATAATAATCTGAAAGAATTAACTGAAAAACAGACACATAAATTATGTCTACTAATATTTTAGGCAACTATTGATCCATAAATTGAAAGTTTCATAAGAAACTCCATGGCCCTTTAAACTACATCATTTCCTTTACCCTGTCAATTTTTCTACGATTTAAAAAAAAGCATTGCTTTTAGCGAATTATTTTTAAAGGGGGTATAGGAGTCACAAAACTGAAAGTGTTTTTTCAGGAAACCTTTTTAGTTCGTCGGCTAAAAAAAAAAAAAATAGAAAGCTACCTAAACCTTTCAGAAAATATTTTCGGTCTATTCTTGTAAATGTCAAAAACAAATTCCATTCACGTGTATAACAAGTTATTTATGATGATCCATACTGGAAATTTAAGGCTTCCACGGCCTGATACGATACAGTAGCTACTGTTGCAGTTTTTGATATCAAAAGTAGCCACTGTATCTACATCAGGTCAGTTTCGTTTCATTCTTTACAACGAGCAGACGTTTGTCTACATTAACGACGAATTGTCAACTGAAAGTAATTTGAACTGTATACTAGCGATGCTGATAATCTCGATATGCTATAAAAGTATAAACTGGTATGTTATTAAAGACAAAAAGTTAAAGAAGAATGTTTCGTCAACAAAAGGCAGATAAAAATATAATTAGATTAAGAAACTGTTGTAAAAAAGCATCTTACATTTTTACATTAAAAAAAAAAAAAACAACTGCAGAATCTGGATTTATAGTTCACAAAATCGGTAGTTAGATTTGTATGTGTGAGTTCTGCAAGCATACGAAGAAAATTTCAAAGCTGTCTCGATATGCCTTAGAATTTGAAAGAAACTTCACTGTTGTTGCTTGAAAATAAATTGTGGGATCTATTGCAACAACAGAAACGAAGTAGGAAATTTTGTAAAAATAAAAATCTTTAAAGATCAAGTTTGATGTAAAAACATTTTCATATATCTTCGATCTAATGTAAACATTAAGGATGACAATTGTAAATTTACTTTGGTAGATTATTATCCAAACACGAAATAAAAGAATTCGTTTTTCATACGGTATAATCAATAATTTTTTGCGGTGACCAACAATTATCATCTTTATGTTACAAGAATCATCGTCACCCGTTGTAAACTTTTTTGCAAAATGTTTTATGTATGGGACAATGTTATATAAATTTCAAATATGGTTCCTTTCAGATCCATTCGGAATATGATTCTAAGAACTCCATTTTACAAATATTATAAATATTGTATATTTTAAGATAAATACAAAAAAAATAATGGAAATATTGAGAGTTACAGATAGAACAGCATCTACAGGGTGTCCTGTAACTCCTCGAACACCCGGAAATGGGGGGTTGCTGGGGTGACTCTGAACAACTTTTTCCTTTACCAAAATGTTGTTTGAAGCTTCATTTCTGAATTATTATCGAAAAACACTGGCCAATCACAGAGCTCGCGCTCAGGGACGAAGAACAGAGGCTCACCCGCGCGCGATCGAACAAATGCGTACGCGTTAAAAACGACCTTCGCTATTTTCTTCACGATTCCGACTAATTGCAGTTTTTTCAAAAATTTATACAAATGTCGGAATGACGGCAAAAACCCATTTCTCTGAGCCTTATAAAAATAGCGGTGCAAAGTAAAATTTTTTTGACAGCGACCGATAACCGAGAAGTCACGCGTACGCGTTGTTCATGATAGCGCGCGGGTGAGAATCTCTGTTCGTCCGTCCCTGAGCGCGGGCTCTACGCGCGCTCTGATTGGCCAGTGTTTTTCGTTAATAATTCAAAAATGAAGCTTCAAACAACATTTTGGTAAAGGAAAAAGTTGTTCAGAGTCACCTCAGGAACCCCCCATTTCCGGGTGTTCGAGGAGTAACGGGACACCCTGTATATAACGCTTCTCGTACAAGAACTCTCATTTTATTTTTCGTAAATTATTCTTTGTAGTTGCATTTCAATGATGCTTATTTGGAACAATTACAGTGTATAATTTTTTCAATAAAGGGTAACGTCTGTTCGATTATAGCAGAGAAGAAACACACACTGCCTCTTCACTTCAATAAAAGATCCTAAATATTTTCTACAATGTAAAGCCGATACTAGATTAAACACGCAGCACTGCACTACACGTTATATCCAACACAAAGCTGTGCACGTTTGCACTCTCGTGTATAGTTATTGTTAGTTATATACAGGGTGTCCGAATTTTTTCGGATCAAACTTTGTCAGTGTGTTCTATGGATTTAAGTAAGAGAAAAATGTCATATAAACATAGGTCGTTTGATGCTTCGTTAAAGAGTTATACCGATAATACGAGATACGAAGGGAATGGTAACTGGATGTGAGGTTATGTTACAAAATAGGAATAGATAAGAATCCAGTGTGTTTGACCAACTGTGTTGCCATTCCTTTCGTATTTTTGTTATCACTTTTTAACAAAGTTCTTTATGTGGTCAGGACATGTCAAAATCGGAAATAATTAACAGCCTTATAATTTCTACTCAGAATTACCGCCAACTGTTTGTTCACCCGCATGAAAGCAATTTGTAAAGATGAACAAGTATTAGGTTGATCGAAAAGTTCTGTCGCCAGTTTTCACGTGCACTTTTGCAATTCTATTCAAAGATTTCCATAAACGACAGGAAGTTGAAGTGCTTACGCATTCTATTTTGCCAAATATGGACTACTGAAAGGGGATGCAAAATTTCTGGAATAGTTATTTAGTTTCAGCGCGATATTTAATAAACATCTCTTGTAAAAACGAAAATTTTTATACTGGGTTTTTGAAACAAATACTGCATTTGCACGTATAATAAAAAAGTAGTTCAAACAATTTCGATTAGATAATCTCAGCCTTGGCAATGAAACGTACCGGTAAACCAAATGTTGTTCATAATGATGTTATCGCAATCAAGAATATACAAAAGCAAATTCAGTTTTAGCAAGTAAAAAAGGAGTTTACCGTCTAATAAAATTTTTCGACAATTTGTTAATGCGAAGAAACTCGAACGTTGAAAATCAACTTGTGAACTCATTAGAATATTTTAATTGCACGAATTGGAAATTTTACATAAAGGGATAAATAAATTACTGAATACTTTGAAGACAGATATTGTACCACAGATTAATTGATAAAAGTTTGAAAAGGGAAGTCCTTGGTTTACTTTCTGTGAAAATAAAACGACAGAACATCCTGATGAACCTAATCATTTTTTGCGCCATTCGTATGTTTTTCATTGCATATAATTCTCGCTTAACACTTTCGCTACCAGCGTTCTGTCGAAGCACCATCCGCTATCCTTCGTATTATTTCTGTTTACACTCTTAATACCTATACTTTTTATCAGTTTTACATAATATAGTGCATGCTTGCACTTATGCACACGCAATATGTATTAAATAGATACACTGCACACTTTGTACGATATGTTATATATGTAGATAACAGCGATCTATCACAAGAATTGGCGCTTCACACATGTGACCCTGGTAGCGAACGTATTAATTACTGTGTACAGCTATTACTGTTAACGGTATGTCATTATTTTCCTTACTTTCGTAATTATTCCTTTTTATATAAACTTGTGTAATTTCAATATTACATAGGTACACGGATTAGTATAAGCAGCTTTTATTATAATCGTTCTAAAGCAGTGATAAGCAACCTTCGTTTACAGGGGGCTAAAATTCGAAACCCAATAATCCGTACGTACGGGCCGCTGCAACTGAATGTTTGAAGAACCTAATTTATTGATTCAAAAATTGTTAATTTATAATGTGGAATTTTTTATTCTCAACATAGGTAACACTTTAATTTATTTTCTTTTCTGAAAGTTACGAGCTACTATTGCCGGGATTATTGTTTTGATCATACTATATACACTGCAACCATACGGTCTTTTCGACAATTATTTCATAGATTCATAAGTGTATAGTTGTAAACACAAAATTTTTCACTTGAGCCGATGATTAAAGTGGATTATACAAACAACATCGGCGGGCCGTGGATTGCTCATCACTGTTCTAGGACAATAATTTGCTACACGTATGTATATTGGAAGCACGTTTGCGTATAGAACTTTCGGGATAAGATCACAATATGTAACATTAGTAATATCGCCTTTATTTTTTATAAGTCGACGAGGTAAGCAAGGGTAAAAAGACTTACCCTGGTCTATTTACGTCCCTGAACGACGATAAATTGTCTATGTATCCTACAGAGAGACAAACAAGACCCCGCGCCTGACCCTGGCTTTGTTTAACGTCGTAATGGTTGAAAATAAATCACCGTTGAAGTGGAAATCCACTGGTTGAATTAAACAACCGTATCACGTCTCAGCATTCAGGTGGAAACGCAATAAAGTGATCTTTACATCGTCACCGGCCAGTCAAGTGTAGCCTTGGACTGCGAACTATCGGTAACATGAGGCAGACTGAGGAAAGAGACAGAAAATTGGAAAGGAAAAGATTTGGAATGCGTTCTGGCTCTCGTGGTCGCTTACTAGGCTTCATTAGTAAGGCTGATGCAAACGACTCCTGCCCCAACCATTTGGAATGTTAGAAATTGTAACCTGTACATATGTGAACGAAGAAAGGAGTGAGCACTTGCGGGAAAGAGGTGAGTGAGTGAGACATCTAGTGGCCGCCGATGGAACCATTAAGGCTGTAAAGAAGCGGAGAATGGCAAATGTCGCCGCACCTAGGCACCCGCAAATGTTACAATTGAAAGCGGTCGACACGCTGATACCCTCCGTGTGATGTCACCACGTAGAGCAAAAGGAAAACTTAGTATACAGAGTGTTCCATAATATATGAGCATAATTTCAATGGTGGATTCAGCACAAAAGAGTACCTTAACTGCAACACTGGTTATCTTCTGGTGTGTTGTAAATCAAAGACTTCAGGCACTTCTACAAATAGAAATCCGGAGGATATCAAACGTTCTTTGTAAACAGTGGAATGAAGAGCTCAGTTTGTCAAAAGAATTATTGGAAGATAGAAACAGCTGTAACTCGGAAACCTTGTTTCTTATTTTTGTGTGTTGAATTCACCACTGACGTTATGCCTACATAATACAGAACACCCTGTACCGAGAGCCTCGAGCACAGTAGCAACGAGTCAGTTTTCCTTGGAGTATTAATCAGAGTACACCGTCAGTTTGTTACGCGTTTACGCACTAGTTTGTAATGTCCAACTTGTACGTAAACGCATGAAGAATAAACTTGTTAAAGTTAAATGTCCTTCTTTGGTAAATATTTTCTCGACGGTCTTCTTCGTTCCGTAGGAAGATACTGTAATTCAAAGCATCGGACTATACTCACAGCCACGGTCCAGACATAGAGTAGTACAGGTCTTTTCCCTTGTATTTAACCCCTTGAGCGATATACAGCCACTCAAGATCTTGGATACTTGTTGTGGTGGGACCGTTCACACTCATTTCCTTCAGCTCTGAATTAGCAGGTACTAATTTGGCGTATTTTTTAGATGCCAAAGAAGAACAGATGCGGTGGTGTAAATAAACGTCTCTCGAGCAATTTCAACACACTAAAATCCCCGAACCCCCTAGAGTTAACCAAGTTTCGTGATTTTCACACAAAATCTACATTTATTCAAGAGCCTCCTTCGCACATTGATCAATCCCCTGAGCAGAGGTAATCGATTTAACCGAAGAAGGTACAACATTAGCCAGCAACCCACTCAACTTTGACTGTATAAAATTTTCGATACGACGATTGCGCGCAAGGTTCCGAATCACGAGTAGTTCCATGAGCGTTTAGTGTCTTATTGACCTACTCGGGCCTCTAACTCTGCCGTACTTAAGCTTGCGCTTATGTCGATCGGTGTCATCGGCGAAACTACCACTGCAAAGGGACACGTATGCATTTGGATCGTGCATACATCGTGCATGGAAAAACTCTTCCGTCACCAATTAAGGATCACTTGGGATATCGTCAGGAAGAAGTCCATTAGATGGGACAACACTTCTCTCTAAGAGGAAGGTGTTATGTCTAGGCTCTCCCCCGAACGCATTGCTTTGAATATCTGACAAACTTTACACGTACTTTTCTTATAACTCATTCAATATCTACGGCTACAATTACGGGTACGCTTATTGTAGACATAGATCTATCACCCTGCTAAATTTCACTGAAATCGGTGAAGGTTACATCTGAAGCTTCCCTTGTGAGTGGTTCTATCGATAGCCACCAGATGTCTCGCTGTCTCTCCATTCTCTCGCAAGTACTTGCTTCAGTACGCGTAAAAATATATACGAGTTCCAAATACAATCTCCTAACTCCTGTGATCCTGTGAGCAGAGGTTGTCTACATCAAGCCTACTGATGAAGTTTTAATTTTCAATATTCCATCTGCTTCGTTAGCCCTGCCTCCTTTCGCTGGTAGTTCGTGGCAAAAAACTGTTTAGACTGCGACGGGGCGAAAGGTAAAATTTCTTTGTTTGCCGTGTTTCCATTCGAGAGCTGGCACGTGTATAATAAACACACGATTGAACAAAAAGGCTCCATTCATGTTCACAGGTGTTTCTTTGTTTCGAGTTTCTCCGAGTTGTACGTGTTATGCAAGTTTGTGCATATTGTCCAAAATCAACCGCGTACGGCTGTTCTGCATGATGCAGTGCAGCGCTTAGAGTGTTTGGTCTGGAATCGGCCGAACATTCGCTCATAGTACATAAATAACAACGTGTAGAAATAATAAGAAAAGAACGTAAAATAGCTGAAAGTAAAGGATAAAGCTCGGGAGATAGGGGATAGTTATGGTGTTAGCATTTTTACAGTAGCAACATACGTTAAATACATTTATTTCTACAGGTAAAATTTTAAAAGCTTTAAGGTATGTCTTCTTTGTATGAAATTAAAATTTTACAAAAATTGTCTTGTTATACATCGGAACAACTCTGGAAACTCATGTAAAATGATGTTATTATAGTAACGTTCATTTTTCAAACTTTTGACACCTTCGTTCAGTGCGTAAAAATATTTTTGTTTTTAGGTGAGTATTATGGATAAACAATATTTTTCTATGGTTTACAATTTTTGTACGTCTTTGAAAACAACAATCTGTTACTGCATTCTCAACTTCTATACCCTCTTTACAGAAAGCGTAAGACTTCAATACACTGGTTAAAACAGAGGAATTAGATGAAATTTAGGCATTTTATGCATTTTATGAAAATTGATAAAGAAATAAATTTCATGCAAGTCAATTGAGAGATTTCGCAACACCCCTATAGAGATTAACAACAATAATAGACATTCATACAACATAAGGCACCTAGATGATACTGCCGAAATACATTTGTATACATCTACAATAATTTTGAGATGACTGGAAAGAAAATGATAAAATCGATAAAACACAGTTTGCTACATTTAGTACGTTGTTACCTTAGGTTATCGTTCTATTATGAGAATATAGAATAAAATATTCATGTTCTTTCTACTATACATTAACAAATACAACATATTTCTTTAACTAATTTATCGAAATTTCGATACATATAATTATGTATATTCTATGTTGTGCTCTGTGATAGAAGCAAAAGTTGCTATATTTTATAGGAATCCAACATTTCATTATATTCCTGTACATAGTGTTGAAAAACATATATAATTTCTTTCCTTTTAACGCATATAATAATTATATTTACATGTATGTACATGTATTATATACATTATACATATCACTATGTTGATATTTAGGTATTTTTTACAGTCCTATCAAATCCTCTTACACAACCTACTTATTCAAGTACATAGGACCATGGCTAAACGTAACGGTTGTTATTATATTATAACAAGAAACGTATTACAAAATATTAATTTTTTAAACAAATTTTGGCTTAAATTTCATATCTTGTACGAAGCAGAGGTATTGAATTGCTTTTAATAAATAGTACGTATGTACATATTGCTCCTCGTTAAATTCCTAAATTTGAATATAGTAGTACTAACATACATCGATTCCAAAAATAAATTTTACAATATATTCAATTTTACATCTATCACTCTACATTAGATCTAAATAACGGCCAAGTTTAAACTAATCCGTCGTTAATTATAGTGGAGACAATGAAGCTTACATGTGTTCCGGATGATTGCGTATGCATGGAATTAGTTCCGTAGCCTTTATCTCACCAACACAAATCCGATGTATAGCCGTGAAAAGAGGAAATCTGCTTTCCATGTTTCTTGCTTTCAACATGTAATTTACTTCTTCAGCAGTAAAGGGACCCTGTAGTTTTTGTCCATTCAACATTTCTTTTTCTAATTCTTCGATAGTCTGCAAAATATGTAATATATGTGTTTATGTGTTACACGATATTTCATATAATACGCGAATATGCACATTTTCGGTACTGTATTATAATGTCTATATTAGTTCAGTGAGTGGAATCACCAGCTGTAATCAAAACTTTCTCGTGCTAAAGCAAGTGAAAGAGGTAGCGGCCTCAGCTATTAGCTAACCCCAATTATTCGAAGCTAGTCAATTGTTGATGTCAGTGATCAATTTGCATCATTTCTTAAAACGTGATTATATCTAGTTCGAATTTCGCAGGGGGGTGACTAAGGTCACCCAGGGGCTTGGCGATGCCCCGGCACCATAGCTGGTCAACCAACACCAAGAAAAGTGAGGTCCCTTGATTGGAAGTGGTTGGGAAAATTCGCCACGAACATCTGACCGATGATGTAGAACGATACCTTGGGCCAGCCAGTCCGTTCTTGCATTGCCAGGAGTTGCGGTGTTTTATTCCACCCTCCTC